ATACTACAAAGAATCAACTGGGAACTAATCTTATTTAAAAACTTTTGCACAACAAGAAAAACCACCAACAGAATGAAGACAATCCACAGAGTGGGAAAAAAAATTTTAACAGTTATTCAGATGAAGGGCTATTATCTAGAAATATAAAAAATCAGGCACCCCAAATTGAAAGACCCAATCCAAAAATGGGCATCTGAAATAAGAAGATACTTCTTAGATGAAGAATTAGAAATAGCAAATAAATATATGAAAAAATGTTCAACATCACCGGTCATTCATGAAATGCAAATTAAAACAACACTGAGATTCCACCTCACTCCAGAAAGCATGGCTGCCATCAAGAAATCAACCAATAACAAATTCTGGAGAGGCTGTGGGGAAAAAGGAACACTTCTCTGCTGTTGGTGGGAGTGTAGACTGGTTCAACCACTGTGGAAATCAGTGTGGAGATTTCTCAAGAAACTTAAACTAGAGGTTCCATTTGACTCAGTATAATACTTCTTGGTATCTTCTCAAAAGAATTAAAAATACCATACCATAGCCATATAAGCACATCCATATTTGTAGCAGTACAGTTTGTAATAGCTAAACCTTGGAAACAGCTCAAATGCCCATCAACAGATGAGTGGATTAAGAAAGGGTGTGTTTTTTTTTTTTATACCATGGAATACTACTCTGCCATAAAGATGGGCTTCAGACACTTATAGCTAAATGTATTGACCTTGAGACCATACTGTTAAGTGAAATAATTTGGACACATGTTTAAATATCACATTGTTTCCCTGGCATGGGAAATAAAAATGGAAATATATAAATGGGTAAGTACATAATGGATAATGGATATTGGGAAATGGGAAGAAAGTATTCAAATGGGAAGGGGAACAAGGGGGGAGGGAGGGAGGAAGGAAGGAGAAGAAAAAAGTGAAACTAGAAGGACAAAATGGAAACAGTTTCTGTACCCAGGGAGGGGAGAGGGCTTGAAGCGGGAAATGAGATAAAATTAAATAAAATTTATTAAATAAAACTTGATTATAATAGTAGTTGTACAGGACTGGGAATTTGGCTCAATGGTTCCGCCGCCTGCCTCACAAGCACAAGGACCCAAGTTCGATGCCCGGTACCAAAAAAAAAAAAATAATAATAATAATAGCTGTACAAATACATTTTTTTGGTGTTAGGGATTGAATGGTGTGCCTTATACATGATAAGCAAACACTGTGACAACAAGCTACACCTCTTGCCCACAGATTTTTGTTCTTCTAGAACTTCTAGAACTGTACACAAAATGGATAAATTTAAATTATGTAAACTATACTTCAATAAAGCTTTAAAAAACAGCATAATGGAAAGGGGACCAAAAGATCGAGGAAGGGAAGGAAAAGGGGTAAAATGTGCTATGTGCATGTACCAGCTCCTCACAATGAATGTAATCATTATGAACTCTAAACATGTACTGAAACTTTAAAAAAAAACAGACACACCCCATGTGTGGTGGCACTGTAGATGGGTTAGATTACCTTGTAGGCAAGTAGACAGGGCCACCCTCACTGTACAAGCCCTCAAGGAGCCAATACAGCAAGAAGCCAACTTGGAGAACAATTAAAGCACATTTACAGGGTGGCATTATAAAAAAGGAAAAGAGGTACTACTTCCCCTAGAGATAGATTGCAGTGACTGATATTCTAAATGGGATATTCCTTGTATGTGCCTTGTTTTCTCATTCGATCCCAATTTAATTAATATTATCTGGGTGACTGTACTTGTTATCTTATTGGTTGGTCATGGTTTTGCCCCACTTCATGTAATTTTCCATTGGGTCTCATAGTTTTGTCCCACCTTGAACCCACCTCACCTCATGGCTTTGCTACATAAAAGCCCCCTGGGAAATAGGATCTCCCTTCTGTCTCTCTTAGACAGAAGCTTTCTTTCTCTCAGTAAATTTTTCTTACTCTTAACCTCCATTGTGCTTAGAATTCATTCTTTGATTTTAGAGAACACAAACTCAAGTTTACCTGGCAGGTTCGGAACTTACATCTATTCCCCTATATCAGTGGTACATGCCTATAAACATAACATGGGAGGGTGAGGCAGGAGGATCAGAAATTCATGCACAAACTGGAAAGACTGGGGATTTAACTCGGTAGTTCTGCTGCCTTTCTCACAAATGCCAGGTCTGGAATTCAATCTCCCCAGCACCAACCAAAAAAACAAAACAAAAAAACAACCTCACTATGACAACTCAACTGGTAATTTGGGGGCAGAGTCCCAAGTTCAATTCCCGGTACCAAAAAAATTTTTTAAGTACAATTAAAAAATAAATGAATTTTTCTTTCAAAAAAAGGCCGGGATTTAGCTCAATGTTTCACCACCTGCCTTGCAAGTACAAGGTCCTGAGTTTGATCCCCAGTACCAAATAAATAAACAAACAAACAAACAAACTGGACAACTAAGTGACATAGTAGAACCCTGTATCAAAATAAAAAATAAAAAGGGATGGGGATGTAGCTCAGTGTGAAGGCCCTAGTTTCAATCCTCAGTGCAAAGGGGGAAAAAAAAGGGTACAGTTTGTTTTGAAATTATTTTAATACAGCATTTATTTATATAAATTACAAGGAAAGACTGAAAGGATATAAAACAAAGTGTTAATGAGCTAAAGGAACAGTGGACCATTTTCTTTTATCTTATCTACACTTCTAAGTATTTTATAATAAACATCCATTTTGCAATAAGAAAAAAAACAAGCTATTTTTAAAGTTATTAAACCAGTTTATACAATTATATAGGGCTGCTAAAAGATCCTGTGAAACCTCAAGTAGCACAAATTAGGATACAAAGATCCTTCTCCAGGCTTCAGTTCGAGTTATGTGCTTAAAAAGCCCATAAGTCTCACTGACTGGAAATGAAAGAAAAGCATGAAACAATTAACTACCTTTATCCTGGACTAACACCCAAGGGAAAAATCCAGAAGGAGCGCTTAACCTTCAGCTTACAAACCATGCCACCCACTGAGCTAGAAATTATCATTATTCACCACCAGAGGGACCCTACATTTCTCTGAAACAGTGTAGTATATAGTAAAGTCTGACACCAGAGAATTCACAACCATCTCTTCCAAACTTCTAAAAACTCATAGTTGGGCCGGGCATTTAGCCCATTGGTTCTGCCACCTGCTTCTTAAATTCAAGGTCCAGAGTTCAATCCCTGGTACAAAAAAAAAAAAAGAAAGAAAGAAAAAAACTGTACTGTACTTACATCAAAAGATGGTAAAAAAAAAAAAAAAAAAAAAAAACCTAAAAATGAGTTTTACAGGCCAAAGATAACTGTGTAAAATCAAGTTTAGGTTTGTTTGTTTTTTTTAAGTACAGCATTTCACAAGAAAGGCCCAAAGGCTGGATATTTTAAATGGCTCCAATTATTGAAACTAATACAGTAATTTCAAGTGAAAACAATTTCAGCTTTCTGCAAGAAAATATGTAGTGGAACTGCTGAAAGGGAACACACAGCTTTTGGAGAAAGCCCTTCCATGAAAGAATACATCAAAAACAAATATAAATCAACCACATTACCTGCAAATAGCTGACCTTGAGAAATGATTGCAATCCTTGTACTTGCTTTTTGGAAAGAAGATTTTGTTCAAAATGTCACAAAAGTATTTTGTCTTGAGTAAGGTATGTATTCTTCACAATCTTGTTAGTTAATTCGTGTCTTTTTCTTCCTAGTCAGAGAGCATACAGTGTTTTCCCACTTCTTTGGTGGGAAAAGTAGTCTGTCATTTTCACCCTTACTTTTACCCATAAAAAGTATGTACAATGAAGCCGAGTGACGGAGCTTATCCCAGTACTGTGCTTTTCCAGGATGAGGCAGGAGTATCACTAATTTGAGCCCAGCCTGGGACCTCATCTCAAAAGTAAGATCATTTTGAAATGGGTACATAGGTAGGTAAATGTGAAGGCCCCGAGATCAACCCCCAGTACCGCAAAATTAATCAATCTGCAATGGAATATAACGGTACTCTTGTCTAGCTCTGCACCATTTCAATAACCCTTTGCTTCTTTTTCTTTCTAAATGTAGCAAGTCTCTTCGATGTCTTCTCAACCAACTTCATATTAACAGCATACTTCCTCCTATATTTTTGTGGTAATAATGGAAATAGAAATGTAAGGCTAAAAATGCATTATTACAAACTGCGTGTATCTATTACAGTCTGGACTGTGCTCATTAAGTCCGGCCATGGGTGACAGAAAAACGCAAATGATTATACAACTTTTCAAAACTTGTTCACCGGAGTTGATGGATAAGCCTTGCTTTCTCGGGATTCATTTCATCTACCCCCCAAAATCTTGGCCACCCCCAAAACACATAAAATGTGAGTAGCTGACACAGAAGTTGGGAAATTGCCGTTTCCTCCTGTTGCTTGCTACTTTCTTCAGTTCTGGCTATCAGCTCCACAGTGGGTCTAGATACCGTCATCTCTTTGAAGAGATTTAAGGCTTTTCCAAATTTAGCCAGGCGTGACGGCGCATGCCGGCAATCCCAGCATTCTGGGAGCTGAGCCAGAAGGATGACGGAATGGAAGCTCAGCCTGGACAATTTAGTGACTAGAAAGAACCTACCGCAAAATAAAGTTTTTTTTAAAGGCTTGGGAATGTAGCTCCCGGGTTCATTGCGCAGTACCATCACCACCACCACCACCACCCCAAAAAAATCCTCTTGCATAATTACTAGAGGGAAATCGGCGAAACTGTTCAGACTCCAGAACGGAACTACGGCTTAAGTGGAAGATCTCGCATTTTCTTCCCAGCGTGCCAGTCCACTTGCGCCTCCTCGAGGAGGAATGACACCGGAAGAATAGCCGCCAACTCTGTCTCTTTCCCCAGAGACCTCTTCCTCAACTCCGGCCAGCCCAGCAGGAGAAAACCCAACGTAGTTACCCGAGAGCTGGAGCTGCAAAAGGTCCCGCTCAGACGCCGAGCCTTCCGGAAGGGGCGTGGCCCGCCGGAAGTTCCCTCTTGAGAAACGAAAGCATTTCCGGCTTCCGGTGGCATGGCTGATACGTACCCTGAGGGCGCGCCCCCAACCCAGGTCAGGAAGAGGGAGCAGTTCGGGAGCAGGTTCCTGAGCGATCCGTCGAGTGTCTTTCACCATAATGCCTGGTAACTGCCCTGCCCCTCACCATACCTGCGACTCGACCCCGTCCCGCAGCTCCTGAGCGCTTCGAGAAGCTCTTGACCACCCGACCACTAGACCAGCTGCCCTGCCTGAGATGCTCTCCTCCCGGAGAGAGGTGCTTCCCAGCCAACGACCCTCCCTGCCCACAACTGAGACCTGAGGCTCCTAAGCTCCATGTTTGGTTTTCCCAGGGACAATGTGGAGTGGTCGGAAGAGCAGGCTGCGGCTGCCGAAAGGAAAGTGCAGGAGAACAGTGCCCAGCGGGTGTGCCAAGAGAAACAAGGTGCGCCCAGGTGGGGCCTGAGGGTATCGCCGGCCGTCGCCTTCCCCAGAGTCCAGAGAACTACAGCCCAAGATCCTTTGTTGCTGGCTTGATGCAGAACGGGAGAGGAGGGAGACAAGTGAGGAGAGAAAAGGGTGGCTTTTTAACAAAATCGTGCCGGGTCATTGAGAGTGCATTGCTTTTGATTTTAGGGGTTGTCGTGGTTTTATTTAAGGGAAGGTAACATTTTCTGATGATTGAATTTGAATCGTGTTGATGGGAACTGCGTGATCACGTGATCATCTTAGAGGATGTACTTTTTACATAATGTACACTTTGCTTAAAAGTTGCACTGAAGGGGCCAGGGATTTAAGTCAGTGGTTCCGCCGCCTGCCTCGCAAGCTCAAAAACCTGAGTTCGATCCCTGGTACAAAAAAAAAAAAGTTGCACTGAAACTAGATTTGAAGTGAACAGATTATAAACATTATTGGGAGATGTTATACATGACTGGTGCTAATGTGTCTTTGAAGTAGGACAATTGACATCAGATATAAATGAGTTTTGAGACCTAATTAAATAATTTTTAAATATTTACAGTTGATTATGAGGTTAATGCCCATAAATACTGGAATGACTTCTACAGAATTCATGAAAATGGGTTTTTCAAGGATAGACACTGGCTTTTTACGGAATTCCCTGAGCTGGCACCTAGCCAAAACCAAAATCACTTGAAGGATTTGCTCATGGAGAACAAGAGGAATGAAATCTCTGAATGCCAAAGCAGTAAGAATGGAACTGGTTTAACAACTAGTGGAGAACACCCCAAGTGTTCTTCAACCTGCCTGGGACATAAAACACAGTTACCTCCTGAGAAGGAAACTGTCGCTGAGAAATTCAATCACCTGCCAATTTGTGCTAAGTTTCCTGGATCCTCAGCCACCTACCGAATACTTGAGGTAACCTTGTTTTATTGTCCTGGTAGTGGAATTAAATTGTCATATTTTGCACACTGGGTAGAATAGAAAAGCTGACCATGAAAGTGATGTCTGTTTGATGAAAGTAACTGGATTTGGCCCTAATTGCCTCTGTTTTTTGAGCTGAGAAAGTGTCTGTATGGACACTCTTAAAAGAAACTCACAAATAGGGAACTACACACTCATCTTGAACAAGCCCCTTTAGCACCCGGGCACTGTTTCCTCTCAGCTTCATAATTGCATTTACTACTTTATTTAAAATAGGGTTGCTGGGGATTTAGCTCAGCAGTTCCACCTCCAGCCTTGCAAGTGCAAAGGCCCAAGTTCAATCCCCGGTACCAAAAAAACAAAAAAAACCCAGGGTTACTGTGCTCCTCTTTTTCTAAACTTTTCAACTTGATCTTTTTGTCCAATAATTGTATAATGGACCTCAGTAAGAAAATATTTCATCTACAGAACCATTTGCTAGAACTCAAAAAGTAAAGGCAGAGCCCATGTCTTTTTCTAGACCAGTTTCCCTCTATTAACAGAAGCCCTGTCTTTTCGTTGTGTCCTGGTTGTCTCCTTAAGGGTCCCTGAGGTCAAGACCAAGATGTAGCTCAGAGGTATGGTGCTTGCCTAGCTAGCTTGCTTAAGGGCCCAGGTCCCATCCCCAGGATCACAAAAAAAAAAAAGGAAATGTTATGGCTAGTAGTATACTTTCCCTAAATGCACAAGGTTATTTACTGTTTATTATTATGAAGATTCAGGAAATTAATAATAATAGATTCTCTTCTGTGATTAATAGTTTATTCCTATCTGCAGGTTGGTTGTGGTGTGGGAAACACAGTCTTTCCAATTTTACAAACTAACAAGTAAGTACAGTATGTTGTCAAATTTATGTGACAGTAAAGAGGAGAAAAGCAGAGTTTTGTTTTTTCAAAACTTTAAAGATCAAAGCCAGGCATGGTGGTGCACGCCAGAAACCCCAGCACTCAGGAGGCTGAGAGAGAAGGATCACTGTAAGGTTGCAGCCAACCTGTGCACTACATAGTGAGTTCAAGGCCAGCCTGAACTATAGATCATGACTTCGTCTCAAAAAAAAACAACTTTTACTATATCAAACTGTCAACCATAATCAACAAGAAGCATAGGTTACAAGGGATTTAGATTTCTACACTGTCCATTTATGGGTTATTTAATGTTATACGTGTTACCTTTGTTGTCAGGGAAATTAGATTTAAAACCTGCTACAGTGGCTAGGAAGTATAGGTCAGTGATAGAACACTTGCCTGGTGTACACAAGTACCTGTTTTCAGTCCCCAGCACTGAAAAAACAAATATATTATTGTGGTGGAGGGTTGATACAGCTCAGTGGCAGAGCAGTTGCATAGTGTGTGCAAGGCCCTAGTTTTGATCCCCAGCAACACACACACACAGGTTTTAATAAAGTAAGGACTAAAGCCTGTTAGACTTCCATTTTTCTTCTCTTTTTCTCTGTAAGGAACAATCAGTGGCTAAGCTATTACTCCTGAGGTGGAGTTAAGAAAGCTAACTTCTTTTTTTTCCACCTAGTATAAGGGATTGAACCCAGGACTTTTTTTCTTTTTTATTTTGAGACAGGGTCTTGCTAAGTCATTAAGTTGCCCAGGCTGAACTTGAATTTGTGATCCTCCTGCCTCAGCTTCCTAGAATACTGGGATTATAGGCATTCTCCCTCACACCCAGCAGGAAGCTGACCTACATAAAGTTGTTTCCATGTACTGTATGCTCTTAGTATCCATGCCAAATGGTAATATGGCTTCCTTGATAATATGTAATTAAAAATGGTAATATGTAATCCTTGACGATTACACCCTTGAATACATCATCTATAATCCCAGCAACTCAGGAGGCTGAGTCAGGGAGATCACATATTTGAGGCCAACCTGGCAACTTAGTGAGATCCTGTCTCAAAATAAAATTTTAAAATTATCAATGAGGATAAAAAAGAAGCATCAGTGAGGGTAAAAGCAAGTGGAGATGGCAACCTCTCCCGAGCTTAATTGTACCTTTTGTTGTTTTGTGGTACTAGGGATTGAACCTAGGATCTTGCCAGGGAAAACACATCCCAGACAAGTGCTGTACCACTGAGCCACACCTCCAGCCTAGTTGTGTAGCTTAAATGAGATTACTGTGTTCAGTACCTTATTAGAATTCACTGCTGATGTAATTTACCTTCTTAAAATTTAACACAGGCTTTTTACTGTCTGTTACTCAATTTCATTTTGTTTACCATAGCCTTATACAGGTTTATATCCTAGGAAGTATGTCTTGTTATTTATTCCTAAATAAATTGATCACATTCTCCATGTCCTGACTCTGTAGCTTCCCAAAATGTCCTTTTATTTATACTACATTGTTTCCTTCCTTCAGATTCTAGGTCAGAAACCTCTAGAAGGGCCAGGGATTTAGCTCAGTGGTTCTGCTGCTTGCTTCCCAAGTGCAAGGTCCCAAGTTCAATCCCCGGAACAAAAAAAAAAAAGAGAGAGAGAGAGAAAAACCTATAGAAAAAAACTTCCCCAATTAATACAGTCTAATTCACTATGAAGTCATTGCAGCCTTTCTAAGTTTCTTGTAATTCCTTAATGCTTACTGTCAGAGATTCCTAACATTTTTTAAACAATAAATTCTAGAGTTACAAGCTGTTTTATATTTTGATGTCTTCTAAATAAATGTTTGAAAAAATAAATGTGTTTCATACTTGAAAGCAGTTTAATAGGTACTGATATCAATTTAACATTTTGTATATTGCTACCCATGCTAACAGTTGTGCTGCATGTTGGGAATAACAAGAAAAATAAGCACTGAAGACCAGGGATTTAGCTCAGTGGCACTGCACCTGCCTCACAAGCACAAGTTCATGAATTCAGTCCCCAGTACCAAAAGAAAAAGAAACACTGGGACTTTTCTTGTTCCCCTTTGCCTGCTCAGCGTCTGGGATCACATCCAGCACATAATGAGATAGCAAGTATTTGGTGAGCAAATAAGTGAAAGATGTAATCTCTGCTGTCACATCACTCACTGTATAGTGAGGCAGGCAGACACAGCTGGATTCCTAGTGCAGAGGAAGAGCCACAGTAGCTCAGAGAGAAGAAAGACACAAAGATGCTCATGGCTCCATCAGGCAAGGCTTGATTGGGAGGCAAAGTAGATTTTGGTGGACAAAGGAAATACGATGTAATGGACCAGGGATTTAGCTCAGTGGTTCTGCCACCTGCCTCACAAGAGTAAGGACCCGAGTTTGATCCACAGGACCAAAAGAAAAGAAAATTAAGATGTTATTTTGAAACTCATCAAGCATTTGATAAAACTAATATTATAGTAATTGTATCTGTAGGACCTAAAGGAAGATATAGATTTTTTTAAAGATTTTAACATATGTATGTTCTAACAAGTGTCTCTGGATGAATGGTACAGTAGTGCTTCCCATTTGATGTTTTGACTGCTATACAGCGAAGACAATAATATAGTCCAATTTATAGCCTAATTGTTTTGTTCTTTTTTTCTACCCATTTCAGTGACCCAGGCCTCTTTGTTTATTGTTGTGATTTTTCTTCCGCAGCTGTAGAACTGGTCCAGGTAAGTACAGTGATTCCTATCAGTAATTTTTACTAATTAAAGGAAAAGGTGGTCTTCTAAAAGTTAAAGTCACTGTGTTCCTGTATTGTGGCCTGAAAAGATTTACTGAAGCAAACTGGAATAAAGAGCTGCACACTTGACTGCAAACCTCTGTGCAGGGTTCTTGACTTCTCTAAACTTATTTTAAGGATTGAAATTAAAAGATTCATCTGGGCATGGAAATGTATGTAATCCTGCCTCTCTGGGAGGCTGAGACAGGAGGATCTTTGCAAGTTCAAGGCCAGCCTAGGCTACATAGTGAGTTCAAGGCCAGCCTGAACTATATAGGAAGACCTTACCTCAAAAAACCAAAAGGAAAAAAAGGAAATGATTTGGCTCAGTTGGGGTTAAGGTACAAGAAACAAGTAGATAAACCCAAGCAATAAAGAGAAATTCACAGAAGATAAGGGTACAGTGCATAGCCCAGGCCTAAAAAGGTGTCAGATACCAGAGGAAGCAGGCAGCTAGTGAGGTGGCACCGCCTCTCCTATCATAGCACCCATCAGCTCGTGGTGCTGACCCTTCACTGCCTGGTATCCATTTTTTCTTTTAACCCATCTTTCTAGTAGGGTTTACTGTGTTTGTACTTGATCCTGACATGCTTGCTCTTCCCAGTCGCTTATAAGCCCACCCCATTCAGGTATTCACAGACCCTCACCAGAGAGGCTGTTCCACTTCCAAAGTCCCCAGAGTCTGGGTGACATAAATTACTTGCCCTATTTGACTCCACTCTGGCCAGTGAGGAACAAAGTCACATTTTTTTTTATTGAGTTTATTGGTACATTTAGGGATACAGTACAGTTACATTCATTGTTGGGATATTGTACCTTTACATGGCAAGTCTTGATTCTCATTTTTTTCCCCTTACCTCTGCCCTCCCTTCACCCCCTCCTCTCCTCCCCATCTACAAACACTTTATTTTCATCTTTTCATTCTCTCACATTTTTTTCTTTTCCCTTTTTGTTCTTCCCCTACGTATCACACCTTCCCTACACCTTTAGCTCCTTTCCTCCCATTTCTAAATGTCAGTAATCTTATTAGAATCTTATGCATTGTTGCAGAATATTCACACCAGGGAAACTATTTGGTATTTACACATGTGGGACTTATTTATTTCACTTAGGAGTATATCTTCAATATGTATCCATTTTCCTATGAATGAATCTATTCTCTCGCTCTTTATGGCTGAGTAATATTCCATTTTATAGAAAAACCACAACTTCTTTATCCAGTTTCCAACGGATGGGCAAATAGGTTGTTTCCAAGATTTAGCTATTACAAACTGTGCCGCTATAAACATGGGTGCACATACTTCTCTGTGATATGATTCTTTTAGTTCTCTTGGAAAGATACCCAACAGAGGGATGGCTGGGTCAAATGGAACCTCCAGTCCAAGCTCTTTGAGGTATCTCCATATTGATTTCCATAGTGGTTGCACTAGTCTGCACTCCCACCAACAATGGAGGAGGGTTCCTTTCTCCCCACAACCCCGCCAACATTTGTTATTGTGTGATTTCTTGATAGCAGCCATTCTTTGTGGGGTGAGGTGGAATCTCAGTGTTGTTTTCATCTGCATCTCTCGAATGACCAGTGATGTGGAACATTTTTTCATATATTTTCTTGCTGCTTTTACTTCTTTGTATGAGAAATGTCTGTTCATTTCGGATGCCCATGTTTGGATCGGGTCTTTATATTTGGGGGGACTGATTGTTTTGAGTTCTTTATATATCCTTGATAATAGTCCAAAGTCACATTTTTGACATGACTAAAATGTATGGGGAAGGTACCCCAAAATGTATCTTTTAACTGTAATATATGCTTCTATTAGCACAGGAGCCCAGGAATTGGTGGTTCTATCTTTCTGAATTATTGTAGCTCAAGACCAGATGAGTGGCTGGGCATGGTAGCAAACACCTTCAGGGGAGGCTGAGGCAGGAGGATTCCCACAAATTTGAGGCCAGCCTGGGCTACATAACAAGACCTCGCCTCGAAAAAAACAAAACAGTGGGCCAGAGATTTAGCTCAGTGGTTCCAACACCTGCCTTGAAAGCACAAGGTCCTGATTCAATCCCTGATACCAAAAAAAAAAAAACAGGTGACTACCAAGACTTACCTCCTTAATTGTATAGTAACAAAGTGTAGATTAAATTTTCTTATATCTAAAGAAGTGGATTTTCCTGGAGAATTCTGTGGTCTATGTGGTATTCTGTAGGGCATTTTTGTTTTTGTTTTTTGTTTGTTTTTGTTTTGCTTGTTTATTTTTGCTTTTTGAGACAGGGTCTCACTATGTAATTGAGACTGACCTGGAGCTCACTATGTATGTAGCCCAGTCTAGTCTCAAACTCACAGCGATCCTCTTGCCTCAGCCTCCCAAGTGCTGGGATTACAGGCATGTGCCACTGCTTTTGTTTTTTAAACAGTTGAGTTTTATTTGTTAATTGTTACCAGGGATTGAACTCTGGACCTTGTACTTGGCGAGGCAGGCAGCTGCACGCTAAGCTAAATCCTGGCCGTTGTAGGTAATTGTTTTAAATCGTGCTTTTAAAATATAGTTCGTCTTTCCCCCTCTGAAGTTTTTTTCTTTGTTGGTCATTTGTTTTCCTGATCATTCTCCAATCCTCAGATCTGATTCCATACATGGTAATTACGGAAAATGCATCAAAAAAAAAGAATGAAAGGAATTAGAATATTCAATTTTAATAGTACCACTTAGTTCTACAGGACTTCCCCTTGGTTGGTCTGATTCTTACTCCATAAGTCCCCCTAGAAAACCTTGTGCTGTAGTGACTGCAAGTGACATTTTAGCAAGAGAATCTTTTCTCCAGGGTGTTTGCACATTTTCTGACCCCACTTGTCTGTTTGCCTGTAGACAAACTCAGAATACAACCCGTCTCGATGTTTTGCCTTTGTTCATGATCTTTGTGATGAAGATCAGAGTTACCCAGTGCCTGAGAACAGTATTGATGTCATCGTTCTTATATTTGTTCTTTCAGCGATTGTTCCAGACAAGTAAGTTTTAGGTCCCTTAAATAATAGCCTAACAAAAGCAAAGTTTTGGTCAGAGACCTTGAGGTAAAGTCCTAAATAGAAAGTGTTTCATTTATGTTCTAGTAGACATGAAGAGGCCACCTCATTCGTAGTCTTGACATCTACCTTCTGTGTCAGTTACCTTCAGGCTTGGTTCTTCGCTGTGAAGGAAGAACAGTCTGTAATTTACAGGGTATGATAATCTCAAGGCCTCCTTTTCCAAGTTGTGGGTACCACAGTTGTTAGACAATATCTTGTAGCCAGGTGTGGTGGCACATGCCAGTAATCCCAGTGCTGTGGGGGCTGAGGACTCCTGGACTGCTACAAGTTAGAGGCCAATCTGAACTACATAGTGAGACTGCCTCAAAAAAAGAAAAACTAGAAGCCGGGTGTAGTGGCAAACATGCCTGTAATCCCAGCACTTGGGAGGCTGAGGCAGGAGGATTGTCAGGTATGAGGCCAGTCTGGGCTACATAGTGAGTTCAAGGCCAGCCTGAACTACACAGGCTGCCTCAAAAAATTTAGATAATATCTCATTATTGGTCTTCTAAGTATTGGAAATAAAACAAACTTATTAACAGTATAGAATTTACATTGAAGCTCAACCTGGGTATTTTCTAAAGCTTAAGTTTTGCAGAAATGAGTATAGAATTCCACAAAATCAGGTTTCAGTAAAAGGAAAGTCAAATGCTGTACTTTAAAAAGATACCATTAAAATCTTACATGCAGGGGCCTGGGGATATAGCTCAGTGATAGATTGCTTAGTAAGTACAGGCAGGATTCAGTTCATACCACGTACACACAAAGCCAGGCACACGGGCACACACCTGTAGTCCTAGCTACTGAGGAAGTTAAGGCAGGAAGCTTGCGCGATGCCAGCCTGGACAATATAAAGTGACCTTATCTCTTAACAAAGAAAGAATGAAAAGCAAACCTCAGACCTTGTGTACAGTAGTCCATGGAACTGTTTCAGGGCAGTACAGTCAGAGAGATTCAGGCACCATTGGCTAATCCCATACAAGCGTTTGACACTATTTGACTTAAGTTGAGTCAGAACAGAGGTAAGGGCTTGGTGTGTACCGAACACCAGAGTTCTGGGACTAGTGTAGTTCCTTCGAGACCTGAAATGTCTCCGCTGAGGCCAGAGGGTCACCACAAGTTTGAGGAAAGCCTGGGCTACTTAGACCCTGTCTCAAAAAACAAAACCAAAAACCAGCTGTCTAATTTGTGACTGTCAAGGCCAAAGGTTCTGAAGTAATTAGTGTTAGAGGTCAAAGTAAGCAGGTATCAGAAAAATCAGGTCACATGACTCAGGATAGCAAGGACCCAGTCGTGGCTCTGCTGGGCCGGAGTGTGGAGCAGTTGACCTAGTTCTCAGCCTACTTTTCCTTTAGAGTAGCTTCAGAGTCATCTGGTCTCACAGGAATGTTACGATACCCTGGAATATGTTTTCAAAGTTTGTAGCCCGTGTGCTCCCAAATGTAAGTACGCGTAACCCTACACTGAACAATTTTTGAAGAATACTGCATGTATTAGCCTTCTGTCACTATAAATTAATACCTGAAGTAATCAGTTTATAAAGAGAAAATGTTCATTCTGGCTTGTTATTTCCAAGCTATATTCCAGTTATTTGGTCCTTTAGCTCTTAGACCTGCAACAGGGCAGCACATTGTAGAGAGCAGAAATAGACTACCTCATGGCCAGAAGGCAAAAGAGGAAGAAGAAGGCAGCAGGTTCCCACAGTCCCCTGAACAGTACATCCCCAGTAACCTAATGACCCTTCAGGTCTCTGCCACATTTAATAGCAGCACACCAGGGACCAAGCCACATAGTGAATATTCCACATGCAAAAGCTAGCAGTGCCCATGAAAAGTGAAGTCACATGTAGAACACTGTACCTGTAGTAGTGTGTGCTGATTGTATCACCACATAAACTGCAGATTCATTTAAACCAGGCGTGGTAGTACGTGCCTATAATCCTAGCATTCTGGAAACAGCACAGTCTGCATTGAGAGAGCTCAGGTCTAGTGGAGCAGCAGAAGAGTGACTAGAAGTCCCATACTTAATGGCCAGGGCTCCCAACCAAGGCAGGCATGATGATGCCAGGACCCCAAGGAAGGGAGCCAGTGTAATAACAATGTTCCCGGAGCAGGTCGTCTTCTGGTCTACGAACTACAGCAAGGGCGGAGAAGCTAGTTTCAGGGTTGGTATATCACAGTTAGGAACTCCTTTGGTTTTGGGGGGGTTGTGCGCCAATGAAAAGGAACGCTGTGCCTAAGGAAACCTAAACTTTATCCCTCATTGTTCCACAGGATGCAGAAAGCTATAAACAGACTGAGCAGGCTTCTGAAGTCTGGAGGGGTGATTCTTCTACGAGATTATGGCCGTTATGACATGGCTCAGCTCCGGTTTAAAAAAGGTATTTTGCCACAGTAATCAAAGTGATGGTGGGCTGGGGATTTAGCCCAGTGGTTCTGCTGCCTACCTCGCAAGCACAAGGTCCCAAGTTCGATCCCTGGTACCAAAAAAGAAAAAAGAAAAACATGGCTTTGCCAACAACATTCAATTCAGTGGAAATAGATTCCAGAGTTAAAGTCCTGTATGTAAAACCATTTAATATACAAGGGAAGACAGTTACTTTAGAAGTGCTATTTTCAGGAAAATATTTGATTATGTAAGAAATTGTAAATGCCATATGATAAAAGATGCCATTAAAAAGTTACAGGGGCCAGGCATGGTGACACACGCCTGTAATCCCAGCACTCCGGAGGCTGAGGCAAGAGGATCGCATTGAGTTCGAGACCAACCTGGGCTACATAGTGAGTTCCAGGTCAGTCTCAACTACATAGTGAGCCCCTGACTCAAAAAAAAAAAAGTTACGGGGGTGGGGGTGGATTTAGCTCAGTGGTGCCACACCTGCCTCGAAAGTGCAAGGTCCTGAGTTCAATCCCTGGTATGGAGAAGGGGGGCTTACAAGCGGGAAAGAGATAAAATAATTTATTTTTTTAAAAAAAAGGTTACATCCTGAGTTTGATCCCTGGTGCCAGAAAATCAAAGTTACAAGAGGACTAGGGGTGTAGCTTAGTGGTAGAGCACTTGCCTGGCGTGCATAGTGCCCTAGGTTCAATTCCCAGCAATCTAAATAAGTAAACAAAATTTGAAGACAATGGGTTGGTCCCCAGCACCAAAAATAAAAAATAAAAAACTTGAAAGACAAGTGACAAATTGAAGAGATATACAGTCTTTTCCAAAGGTTGTTGTGCAGTTGATAAGGAAAAGCCCAGTGACCCAGCCCAAAAACCATTCACATAAGAGCATATCTGTATGGCCAGTAAACAGAACTTCCAAGAAGTAGATGTAGAGATGATTCTTCATAACCCTTTTGCTGATCAAAGAAAGAGGCACACTTCTCCATTTCTGGTAGAAATAGAAATTACTGTGGCCTTTTTCTCCTCGCTTCCATACTGGGATTGAATCCACAGCCTTCACCTTGACCCACATGCCCATTCCTTTTTATGTTTTTTATTTTGAGACAGGGTTTTGCTAAGCTGCTCACTCACACTCGAGATCCTCCTGCCTCAGCCTCCCGGAGTGCTGGGATTACAGGTGTCTACTTCCATGCTCATCTCAGCCATGGTCTCCTTTAAAGCACCCTGATGTTATTCAGTCCAACAGTCTTTGGGGGAATCATTCTACCTTGTTTTGTTTTAAGGCACATAATATATATGTTTAAGCAAAATCTTGGAAACAAAGTTAATGCCTCTGGACAGAAGGATGTTGTAGGAGTGGGGAATTGAGCTCAGTAGTGCCTCTCCTGCCTGGCAAGTGCAAGGTCCTGAGTTCGATCCCTGGTACCAAAAAAGAAAAAAGAAAAAGCATGTTGCAAATACCCCTAACGTGGCTCCTGTACCACTGAGTTTGGAGGATTGTCTTTATTACTAAGTGAGAAAAGCAATGTTTACATGATTATTTTAACTTAGTCCCAAGAATAATAATCACTGGAAGAAAAAAGAAAAAAAAAAGTATATATACTTAGTAGACGTTCAAAAAGATAGAAGGATTACGTGCCAGATTGTAAGGCCAGGGAGATTAGCAGGTGAGGCATGTCCATGATAAAAACAGTGAGTTTTCATGTACATGAATATGTGTGTGAAAACAGAAAGACATGAAAGAGAAGAGTCACCAAAATAGTAATTAACGGTGGCTGTTTTGAACTTGGCAGCCGCGTGGCTTGTGAGGTTTTTTGTTTTTTGTTGTTGTTGTTGGGGTTCTGTTTGTTGTTTTGTTTTTTTTATTTTAGCGAAGTTTATGCCATTAATTTAAACTAGAAGTGGGAAAATAAAAATAAATTCTTTTCATCGAACAAGTCTAGAACACAACGCTAAGAATCATCTGTGTTACCCAACACTGAAGTTGGCTCTTCCTGTTTAGCTGCTCTTCTCCACAGCACCATCCCCTCTTAAGAGAGAAACTACAGGGCCGGGGATGTAGCTGAGCGGCACTGCACCTGCCTCGCAAGCGCAAGGTCCTGAGTTAGATCCCAGTACCAAAAAACAGAGAGAAACTGCAGCCTCCCGCAGAATACCTAGTATAACCAGTAAAGGAGTTTGTTGTGTACTCAAGAAATTGATATCTTCATGCAATTTGATTGTGTTTCCCTGGTTTTTGTGACATCTTCTGCAGGTCAGTGTCTCTCTGGAAATTTTTATGTGCGAGGCGATGGCACCAGAGTTTACTTCTTCACTCAAGGTATGAAAACATGTTCTTTATTTAGGCTAAAAGTCCCCAGAACACCAGGTCATAGGGTCTTCAGGGCGTTTCACAAGGAAAACCATCTGGCCCCTCCTCGCAGCAGCCTTTCCCCTGAAGTTTCCACTTTTCCACACTCACTGAACTGCTCACTGGTCCCCAGGCAGCCACGGCTTATGCTGGCCTCCAGTTCACTGCTTTGTTTTCTCCTTTCCTCTACTTTATACAAAACAAGAACCTGCCTGTCTTGCAAAACTCATCCTCAGGTCTGGCTGGTTTGCCTGTCCACCGGGCTGTGCTTTAGGTGCAGCTGCATCAGAGTGAGGAGCCCAGAACTGTGCCCCTCTGTTGCTTGACCCGTCCAAAAGCTTCATCTTCTATCACTGCTTCGTGAATACACCATTCTTGAGTTCTTCCTGAGTCACATACTTTGAACCTTTGGATAAAATGATGACGCCCCTAAAAGAATTGCTTTCACAGACACATATAAAGATTTTTGTATATAGTTTTTTGTTTAAAAAAGAAGAAGCCAAATGTGGTGGTGCATGTCTATAATCCCAGCACCCGGGAGGCAGAGGCAGGAGGATTGCCATGAGTTTGAGGCTAGCCTGGTTACATAGTGAGTTCAAGGCCAGCCTGAAGTATACAGTGAGACCCTGGCTCTCAAAAAAAAAAGGAATATAGCTCAGTACTAGAATCCTTGCTTAGCATCAATCCTTAGTACTGTGAAAACAGAGAAAGTGTGTGTGTAGATGCCATTAAAAAGTTACAGGGGCCAGGCATGGTGACACACGCCTGTAATCCCAGCACTCCGGAGGCTGAGGCAAGAGGATCACATTGAGTTCGAGACCAACCTGGGCTACATAGTGAGTTCCAGGTCAGTCTCAACTACATAGTGAGACCCTGACTCAAAAAAAAAAAGTTACGGGGGTGGGGGTGGATTTAGCTCAGTGGTGCCACACCTGCCTCGAAAGTGCAAGGTCCTGAGTTCAATCCCTGGTATGGAGAAGGGGGGCTTACAAGCGGGAAAGAGATAAAATAATTTATTTTTTTAAAAAAAAGGTTACATCCTGAGTTTGATCCCTGGTGCCAGAAAATCAAAGTTACAAGAGGACTAGGGGTGTAGCTTAGTGGTAGAGCACTTGCCTGGCGTGCATAGTGCCCTAGGTTCAATTCCCAGCAATCCAAATAAGTAAACAAAATTTGAAGACAATGGGTTGGTCCCCAGCACCAAAAATAAAAAATAAAAAACTTGAAAGACAAGTGACAAATTGAAGAGATATACAGTCTTTTCCAAAGGTTGTTGTGCAGTTGATAAGGAAAAGCCCAGTGACCCAGCCCAAAAACCATTCACATAAGAGCATATCTGTATGGCCAGTAAACAGAACTTCCAAGAAGTAGATGTAGAGATGATTCTTCATAACCCTTTTGCTGATCAAAGAAAGAGGCACACTTCTCCATTTCTGGTAGAAATAGAAATTACTGTGGCCTTTTTCTCCTCGCTTCCATACTGGGATTGAATCCACAGCCTTCACCTTGACCCACATGCCCATTCCTTTTTATGTTTTTTATTTTGAGACAGGGTTTTGCTAAGCTGCTCACTCACACTCGAGATCCTCCTGCCTCAGCCTCCCGGAGTGCTGGGATTACAGGTGTCTACTTCCATGCTCATCTCAGCCATGGTCTCCTTTAAAGCACCCTGATGTTATTCAGTCCAACAGTCTTTGGGGGAATCATTCTACCTTGTTTTGTTTTAAGGCACATAATATATATGTTTAAGCAAAATCTTGGAAACAAAGTTAATGCCTCTGGACAGAAGGATGTTGTAGGAGTGGGGAATTGAGCTCAGTAGTGCCTCTCCTGCCTGGCAAGTGCAAGGTCCTGAGTTCGATCCCTGGTACCAAAAAAGAAAAAAGAAAAAGCATGTTGCAAATACCCCTAACGTGGCTCCTGTACCACTGAGTTTGGAGGATTGTCTTTATTACTAAGTGAGAAAAGCAATGTTTACATGATTATTTTAACTTAGTCCCAAGAATAATAATCACTGGAAGAAAAAAGAAAAAAAAAAGTATATATACTTAGTAGACGTTCAGAAAGATAGAAGGATTACGTGCCAGATTGTAAGGCCAGGGAGATTAGCAGGTGAGGCATGTCCATGATAAAAACAGTGAGTTTTCATGTACATGAATATGTGTGTGAAAACAGAAAGACATGAAAGAGAAGAGTCACCAAAATAGTAATTAACGGTGGCTGTTTTGAACTTGGCAGCCGCGTGGCTTGTGAGGTTTTTTGTTTTTTGTTGTTGTTGTTGGGGTTCTGTTTGTTGTTTTGTTTTTTTTATTTTAGCGAAGTTTATGCCATTAATTTAAACTAGAAGTGGGAAAATAAAAATAAATTCTTTTCATCGAACAAGTCTAGAACACAACGCTAAGAATCATCTGTGTTACCCAACACTGAAGTTGACTCTTCCTGTTTAGCTGCTCTTCTCCACAGCACCATCCCCTCTTAAGAGAGAAACTACAGGGCCGGGGATGTAGCTGAGCGGCACTGCACCTGCCTCGCAAGCGCAAGGTCCTGAGTTAGATCCCAGTACCAAAAAACAGAGAGAAACTGCAGCCTCCCGCAGAATACCTAGTATAACCAGTAAAGGAGTTTGTTGTGTACTCAAGAAATTGATATCTTCATGCAATTTGATTGCGTTTCCCTGGTTTTTGTGACATCTTCTGCAGGTCAGTGTCTCTCTGGAAATTTTTATGTGCGAGGCGATGGCACCAGAGTTTACTTCTTCACTCAAGGTATGAAAACATGTTCTTTATTTAGGCTAAAAGTCCCCAGAACACCAGGTCATAGGGTCTTCAGGGCGTTTCACAAGGAAAACCATCTGGCCCCTCCTCGCAGCAGCCTTTCCCCTGAAGTTTCCACTTTTCCACACTCACTGAACTGCTCACTGGTCCCCAGGCAGCCACGGCTTATGCTGGCCTCCAGTTCACTGCTTTGTTTTCTCCTTTCCTCTACTTTATACAAAACAAGAACCTGCCTGTCTTGCAAAACTCATCCTCAGGTCTGGCTGGTTTGCCTGTCCACCGGGCTGTGCTTTAGGTGCAGCTGCATCAGAGTGAGGAGCCCAGAACTGTGCCCCTCTGTTGCTTGACCCGTCCAAAAGCTTCATCTTCTATCACTGCTTCGTGAATACACCATTCTTGAGTTCTTCCTGAGTCACATACTTTGAACCTTTGGATAAAATGATGACGCCCCTAAAAGAATTGCTTTCACAGACACATATAAAGATTTTTGTATATAGTTTTTTGTTTAAAAAAGAAGAAGCCAAATGTGGTGGTGCATGTCTATAATCCCAGCACCCGGGAGGCAGAGGCAGGAGGATTGCCATGAGTTTGAGGCTAGCCTGGTTACATAGTGAGTTCAAGGCCAGCCTGAAGTATACAGTGAGACCCTGGCTCTCAAAAAAAAAAGGAATATAGCTCAGTACTAGAATCCTTGCTTAGCATCAATCCTTAGTACTGTGAAAACAGAGAAAGTGTGTGTGTATGTGTGTGTGTGTGTAACTTCACTAGTGGCTGGGCCTTGGATTCCAGGCCACCCTTCAAAAGGCTTTCCCAACCTGAATGTTAACTTGCTATTTCCAAGCCATCACTGCATGAATCACTTTTAACATGAGAAGTAGTTGACAAAATTTCTCTTTTTCATGAAAAAAATAAACATCTCCTCTTTCCAAACCAGATGAACTGGACACACTTTTCACTACTGCGGGACTAGAAAAGGTGCAGAATCTGGTGGATCGCCGATTGCAGGTGAACCGAGGAAAACAGTTGACAATGTACCGAGTTTGGATTCAGTGCAAATACCGAAAGCCTCTTCTGCCCAGTACCCACTGAAGGGCCCCTGCTCCTGACCTGACTCAAGCTCATTATCTTTCGGATTTCTTAAAAAGAATATCTATAAATAGTGTATTGTTAATGTTGTTACTGTTCAAACAGGGGCCAGGCTTGATGGTGCACACCTGTAATCCCAGTACTCGGGAGGCTGAGACAGACAGATCACTGGGAGTTCAAGGCCAGCCTAAACTGCATAGCAAGACCCTGTCTAAAAAAAAATTTTTTTTTAGACAAGGGCTGGGGGATGGTTCAGTGGTAAAGAGCTCAACTGTATGGTTCTGTCCCCCATACAGCAAAGAAAAAAAATGTTAACCCTGAACCTAGGAAAACTTATTTATTAACAAGGTAAACATCAGAAGGATTGTTGTGAGTTTGAGGCCAGCCTGAAATACAAAGCAAGACACTATCTCAAAAAACTAGAACATGATAAACAATTTTGTCTTATCTGTGAAGCCCATTAATATTGATGTAAACTTTTTGCAAGTTTCTTTTCTCAATCTGTCTTGTCATTTTGTAAGTGAATGAATTTTTTTAATAAATGAGATGTTATACATAGGAATTACGAATTTAAAAACTAGGATTTGCCAAGTGTGGCAGCGGTCAGCTATAATCCCAACACTCTGGAAAGCTGAGGAAGGAGGATCATAAGTTCAAGCCCAGACTAGACAACATTTTAGCCAGACCCTGCCTCAAAATAAATACAAAAAAAAAAAAAAAAAAAAAAAGGGCTAACGATATAATTCAGTACAGATGCCCTAGGATTATTTGGTTCCCAATACCACAAGAAACATAGAAACGGCATAGCATGTGCTTAGTATGTGCAAGACCCTGTAGTTTGGTCTCTAGCACCAAAAAAAAGATATATTCCAGGTAAAGTTGTTACATATAACAAGTGCCCCTTTGCTATTAAGTTTTATTAAATTATTTTCAGATTCCAGTAACTTGTCTTTCCAATTGCAGTTCATACATAAAACGATGACTAATTATCCCATTAAGTCATGGGAAAGCAAGTTGGAAAGAATCTTCTGTCTTAGGATGCTTTTCCTAGGACAGGCTTCAAAAATGTGGTATTTTGGGGCGGGGGATTTAGCTCAGTGGTTCTGCCACCTGCCTTCCACACAAAAGGACCTGAGTTCGATCCCTGGTACCAAAAATACAGATATAGTATTCTCGTTAAGTAAATACTAGTGGTCTCCACTTTAAACATTAGTTCTCTGGAATTTTCACACATTGTTTCCCTTCTGATGTGTACTTAAAATATTAAAAGGATCTTTAACCAGGCATGGTGATACCTTCCTACAGTCGCAGTACTTGGGAGGCAGGAGGATCACAAGTTTAAAGCCAGCCTGCACAGAGAGTGCTACCCTTCTCTCTCAAAAAAAAAAAATAACATTTACTTTTAGCAAAATTGTCTCATTTTTTTAAATTATGCCCTTAAATGTTTAACGCAAAAGGAATTGTCCTATTTCAGCCACATCACTTTTGAAAGTGAATGTGATCATCATCCATGTAATCCCTTATAGCTGGGGATTTAGCTCAATGCTTCTGCTGCCTACCTCAAAAGTGCAAGGTCCCAGGTTCAATCCCCAGTACCAAACAAACATAATCCCTTGTATATGTTCCCTCCTGATGGCTAGGGTATATTTTTGTTATTGTTGTTCTGTCTTTTCTTTGAGGGATTGGTGGGGGGTGTTTTGGTTTGGTTATGTTTTGTGACACCAGGGATCAAACTCAGGACATTGTGCTTATGAGACAGGTGCGGCACCACTGAGCTAAATCCCTGGCCCTGGGTATATTTTTTAATTTAGTAAATAACTTTTAATTCTTCATAGCTATGTTTGGATTTATAGATACATAGATATGTATGTATATTATTTGCCCAGCTTCAATTTTAATATTCTCAACTGGGGGCCAGGGATTTAGCTCAGTGGCAACATTCCTGCCTTGTATGTGCGAGGTTCTGAGTTGGATCCCTGGTATCAAAAAAAAAAAAAATATTCTCATCTGGGCGTGATTGTGTATGCCTGTAATCCCAGCAGTAGGAGGCTGAGGCAAGGAGATAGACACAAATTTGAGGCCAGCCTGGGTAACACTTTTGAGTTCAAGGCCAGTTTAAATTACAGAGTGAAACTCTCAAAAAAACAAAATATAGCCGGGCGTGGTGGCGCACGCCTGTAATCCCAGCACTTGGGAGGCTGAGGCAGGAGGATTGCTGTGAGTTCAAGACCAGCCTGGGCTACGTAGTGAGTTCCAGGTCAGGCTCAATGATGTAGTGAGACCCTTTCTCAAAAAACCAAAAAAAAAAAAAAATAAATAAATAATAATAATAAATATTCTCTTAATTGCCTCATTTTACCTCAGTGAAAATGTGACAAGAGAAGCATTTTTTCCTAATAACCCAAATTTCAGAAAGTAGGGATAGTTTCCATAATGAAAAGAGAAAAAAAAAAAAACAAGGATAGCTGGGCATGACGGCGCATACCAACACTTTGGGATGCTGAGGCAGGCAGAACCCAAGTTCAGTTCCAGCGTGGGCGATTTAAGGACATCATGAAACCATGTCTCAAAAAAGCAAGATTACAGGCTATTTTGTAGATTCTCAAATGAGACTTGATTATGATTTGGTTCAGGGTATTCATATGCGGCTAGAATATGAGAAGTGATGCTGTTTTTCCCATTGCATCATGTCCTGTGCTAGAAGTGTTTTGTAAGAACCATGCTCTGTGATGCATGCCTATAATCCCAGCTCCTTGTGAGGCTGAGACAGGAAGATTCTGATGGCTGAGAGTGGAGTCATGCAGCACCGTGGCCAGTTTAGATTTTCATTTTATTGAATGATTATAATCCATTGTGGTTTTTCGTTTGGTGTGCAGCACTCAGGATTGATCTTTGCACTAAGCTACATCTCCAGTGCCTTTCTTTGTTTTATTTCAAGACAGGGTCTCACTAGGAGACTACATTATTCAAGCTAGACTTGAACTCACAATCCTGCTGCCTCAGCCTTCCAGAGTATTGGGATTACCATGCCAGCTTATTGTTATTATTTTAATCCTTATCTTGTCCCAGATTTGGCCAATGGGAGCTCCTTCAGACTAACTTCTGAGACCTTGACATGTCCCTCTGAGTCCTTCCAAAGCAAGTTAGTTATTCTAGGCTCATCTTATATGTACTTCTCCACCGGATCTGGAATCACCACTGCCCCCAAGGAATTGTTTTCTTCTAGAGAGATGTTTAGAAACTAAAACCTAAAAAGAGCTTTAAAAAAGGAAGAAGGAAGACCAGGGCTTCAGCTCATTGGTGCTGCTGCCTGATTTGAGATTCCAGGGTCCTGAGTTGCATCCCCGGTACCAAAAAAAAGAAAGAAAAAATCTCAGAGTGGAGCACTAAGTATGCTCATTGCCGTTGTGTTTCTGTTCCAGGCCCTCAGTAGACAGCTCAGGAATATATTCTAGAGCACATTTACTTCTGTTAATACATACTCAAAACTCATCTCAAGCCGGGCACCCTGACAAACACCTGTAATCCCAGCACTTTGTGAGGAGGCAAGAGGGTTGCAAGTTCAAATCCTACCTTGGCAACTTAGTGTGATTCTGTTTCAAATTTTTTTAAAAAGGGGGGCTGGGGATTTAGCTCAGTGGTTCCACCACCTTCCTTGCAAGCACAAGGTCCCAAGTTTGATCCCCAGTACCAAAAAAAAATTTTTTTAAGGAGGGTTGAGGATGTAGCTCGATGCAAACCCAGTTACTGGTTTCATTACTAAGGAACAAAAGCAGATCAAATCAATACTTCGATTCCAACCCGACACCACAAGATTTATTGTAAATCTCTCCCCCTCTCTATAACTCCTTTTTCTAACAAGAAAACTGGTCCCCAGGCAGGCATAGTGCCACACACCTGTAATCCCAGCATTTGTGAAGCCGAAGCAGGAAAATCACGGGTATGAGGCCGGCCTGTACTATGGAACAAGACACCGTCTTTTTAAAAAACACCATTTTGTCAACTTGACTGTCTTTAACGCTGCCCCAGGAGTTTGGTGAACTACGCTGCCGGGAGGGGAAAACTAAGAATTAAGATGTACTATTTAGGGGCCAGGGATTAAACTCAGGGTTTCCACCATCTACCTCACAAGCATGACACCCAAGTTCGATCCCTGGTGCCAAAAAAAATAAACTATGTAAAGGTACAAATCTCCAGTGATGAATGTCATATACCTAAAATGTACCAATAAAATGTATTTTTTTATTTAAGATAAAAATAAATTTTTAAAAACAAAAGGGGTGGTGAAGGGGCTGGGGATGCAGCTCAGTATAGAGAACCAGGGTCCAGGGCTGAGGATTTAGCTTAGTGTTTCCAGCTCCTGCCTCACAAACACAAGGACTCGAGTTTAAGCCCCAGTACCCCCCCGCAAAAAAAGAGAAATATTTAAGAACCAGAGTCCAATCCCTAGTACCACAATAAATAGATGAATGAGTATTAAAATTTTAAAAGCTGGGGGTGTAGGTCAGTTCACAGTCTCGGGGTTTAAGCCCCAGGAACAAACACAACAACAAAACGCACATACCTGGCTGGCATGTTTCTGTTAAGCGATCTATTGCCTTCCTCTGCCACCACCCATGGATGGATGCCCTTTTCTTCTCTCTTGGCTCTGAAACTCACACCAAACCGCTGCTGCCATCGCTTCCTCACCTGTACTATAGCTTAGATCTGAGTGATCCCCAAAACCTCATTCCCTCATAGGTGAGGCTTTTGAAGGGTGACTGCATCGCAGGGGCTCTGGGGCCAAAAGGGATGTGAGGCTGTGAGACATTGAGGCCTGCTGGGGCGGCGGGTCACCGGGGGCTGTGACCCGGAGGGTGTGATCTCCGTCCCCAGCTCCTTCCTGCTCTGGTTCCTGGCTGCCAGGAGCAGCTCTCTCCTACCCGCGCCCTTCTTTCAGGCTGCTCCTGCCTGAAGCCAGCCCACTCTGGGCTGAAATTTCTAAAACCTGTAGGCCAAAACAAATCTCTCCGTTAAGTTGTCAGTATTGGTTCCAGCAAGAAGAAAAGTGACAAAGATGCCCTCTCACTTTTTTTTTTTTTTTTCCCCTGGTACCACGGATCGAACTCAGGATCCTGTGCTTGCAAAGCAGGTGAGGTGCCCCTGAGCTAAATCCCCGGCCCCAAAGATCCCCTCTTCATCCTACCTTGGGTCCAGCAGTCTCATGGGCCTGACAAACCTCTGTGCTAACACGCACCTTGCTTGCCCCCTGCAGTGGATTTCAAAAGGTGGGTGGGAGGGAAGCTCTCATGTTTTCCGTTATTGAATTACTTAAAACGGGGGGGAAAAGGGGGCTGGGGATTTAGCTCAGCGGTTTGGTGCCCTGGCTTGCAAGCGCAAGGACCAGAGTTCAATCCCCAGTACCAAAAGAAAAAAAACAACTGGGGGAAAAAATTGAACTACTAGAGTGATATTTCATCTATCTTTAGTTTTGTTTTGTTTTTCCAGTACTGGAGATTGAACCCTAGGATCTTTCTAAATTATTAAATTCCCTAGGCTGTGCTCAAACTTGGGATCCTCCTGCCTCAGACTCCCACAGTGCTGGGATTAGAGGCTTGTGCCGCGACACCAGATCGTGTATCTTTTGAAATGAAGAAAAAAAAAATGTGTATATATATATATATATATATATAT